TCCAACCAAACATCCTCTTGCAGCACCCAGTAGAGCTGTGGGAAAGGCGCTGGTGCCAGGAGAGACTGAAAGACAGAACATCAGCTGTGTAAGAGAATTCCCTGAGCTAGAGGAGAGACGGCAGTTGCAGCTGAATTGGATCATCTCCAGCTATGAATGGAGTTTTTTTTGTGCTGAAGGATCCTGCCACATTTTCAGCTTGGGCGGTCACACGCTGCAGTCTGAACTCAGCTTCGGGATGTCAGAAAATAGCCAGAAACACCATCTCTAGCATTCATCTGAAACAAAAATTAGCTATGGTTCATAATCCTTAACAATTATGTTCAGTATTTCACTTTTCAACTGTAGGACTGGAAGCCCTTTAAGGAGGAAGTTACGTTTTCTTCGACGTACACAGACACATAAGCAGCGTCAAAAAAGAGTCTGAGAGTCTTTCCTTCCCGTGAAGGTCAGTGAGATCTCCTGAGCAGGGGCACCCCTCTGTACGCACAGGCAGTTTCTGTAGCCCTCGGCATGGCAGCTTTGCCTTGCAGCTTCTTCTCTCTGCCTCGGATCCCTCTTTCCCACCGTCTCATCCGAGGGTGGTCTTCACCACCGTGAGCATCGCCAGCGTCCCCGCTTCGTGCTTCAGCCGCGGCAGCAGGGAGACCGTGTCGGAAACAGTTTTGCGGGGCAGGTCGCTTCTCCCCTCGCCCGCCCGCCCCACATCTCGTGTGAACCCGGTCAGCTCAGCGCAGAAGTGAGTTCACAAACAGCTCTGGGAACGAGCATGTGACCCCAGAGGAATGGCTCTGAAATGCACCGTGGGCAGGTGTTTAACCCCTTCCTTCCTCGGAGCCACAGTGCCAGATTTGGGTGCAGATCACTGACGACTCGGGCACAGTACAAACTCGATCTCGGGAGGCCAAGCCACGCTCCCGTAAAGCTTGCCTACGCTGTACGGCTGGCAGGAGGTGGGTCTACGCCTGTTGCTCCCCACGAGTTTTTCCCCCACTTACTGCGCTCGGGCGACGGGGATCAGCTAGGAGAGTCCCACTTGACCTCAGCAAACGGAGAGCAGCTGTCTTACTGGGTCCCAGTGGCTCTTCCCCCACTGGGAGAGCTGGGAACTGTAGTTCTGCGCAGGCTGCTCGCAAGCTTTTGGCAGAGCTGTAGATGGCCGACTTCCTGCTCTGGATTTTGATAAACTTCTGCCGTTGGTGAGCCTGCCTTCCCACCCCCCCTCCCCACCTGCTGCACTCTATCAGAAATCCACATGCTTTATTTTGCCAAGCAGAAGCTATTATGGGAACGATGCTACTGCAGTAGCTTCAGCTCTTCTTAGCAGAAGAGTTTGTTCATGTTAGTTTTTTTCTCTCTCTTTTTTTTTTTTCCCCCTTTTTTTCCTTCAAGCTTCTCCTTTTTTTTCTTGGTATCAGAAACATAACAGCATTGTTTAAAGTTAAGGACCTTATGTCCTCCAATGGAAAAACATGCCAAGAGCTGTATATATCTACAGGACAGAGCTGGTTAGCGTTCAAGCACCCAGACCCACAGCTGAATTTGTAAGTGAATAGCTCTGATTAGAAAGCGCGCCTTGCCAGGACAGATGTCAGAATAATGACAAATTATTTTCATGCCTTTACAACTGAACAAACAGATCCCTCTCAAGAACTGAAAACATTATTCTGGGCTGGGACCTACCTGCCTATATTTAGCACAAAGAGAATTTTATAAACATATGAAAGTAAATGTTTTCAGGGCAGCCTTTTGCTTTTTGGTCATGAATCGAGATGTCCTAATCGAGAATTCACGTCACGTAATTTGAGAGCATAGCTAGAAAATAATAAACACAGTAAGAAGGGAAATAGCACTCTTGTTACCAGTGTTACTTGCAAGTTTAGGTTTAATTATGCTTGACTGCTGTTTGTGTGCTTCCTGAAACAGAGCAAGCCCAATCTTATTACGCTGCTAGGCTAATTGGATTAATGGACAAAACACATCTTCCCTTAATAAGATAAAGGATTGAAATATAATCTCTAAGGGAAGTATCCACCCTGCTGTTAAACCAAACTAACAGATTTATTGACCCTAACTGCCCACAGGAGTGGATCTTGGAAGAAGAGCTGGGTTTAGAGGGAAGCAGTTGAGGGACCTCAAATCATGGGACAGCCTCCCAACCTTCTTCGACTCACAGCGATCATTTGGTTGGTAAGTGCACCCCTATCCACATGAAGGAGTAAAAGCCAGAGCACTCTGCTGCAGCCTAAAGACCCCTTTGGAGGCAGTGCAGTGCTGTAGCTGCTCGTTGCTACACGCAGCTAGAAAAGACAATACAAATCACAGATGAGCCCAACTGTGTATCCCTGACTTCCGTGCTGGGCAAAGGTGTGGAGAGAAAATGAGATTGGAGTCACTTCTGTGACTGATCTGGCCGGTGGGAGGGAAGCCACGCAGTCTGTGAGACATTCCTTGTGCCTTCACCAAGGGTCCACACACCTTCAGCGTGTAAGCAGAAGCAATTTTGAAAATAACAGAGGCTTTCTCATCATTTATTCACAATTATTTAATTTAAGGAGCACAAATGTCATGTGACGCTGAGTTGCTTCTTTGTAAGTATTTTTGAGCCGGGGTCCGAGTTGTTCCATAAACTGCATATATGACATTTGTCCTCTGTAGGTACTGTATTCCATGGTAGAAGCAATCCTGTGAGAAGGCCTGGCCACGTAAATGCATCTCTGACGGCTTCCTGTAGCTTACTAATTTGAGCTTTGGCAGCCCACCAGAGGAACTGAATCCCTGAGACTCTCCTGATGCAAGAAAAGCAAACAAAAGAGGCCTGCAAGGAGGACGTAAGCTCCAGGAACAAATATTTGCAATCTCTTACGTGGACAAGGCTGCAAAACAGGCAAATCTTTGGTCCTGTGTTGCTAAGATTTCTAAATTTTTAATCTCGGTCTATAAAATGCTCATATTGGTATTAGCAGTTGGTAAATGATGTTTCACGCCAGAGAAGTGGCTGGAAAATGTAATTCTAGGCTAATCACGGTAACTCTCACACTCTTGCTTTTTCTTGCTCTTCTGTTTTGTGCCTTTCCAGATGCCCCAAATAAGCAGAAACAAGCATCAGAATTGCTAACAGCTGGCCTTTGCAAAACAACGGTTAATTGTTTTAAATATATAAAACTAGCAAACTCTCATTAAAAACTTATGGTCAAGCCACAGGAAACCTCGTGGTAAAAAACATACTTCTTTTTTAAGAAGAGCCCAAGGAGAGACAAACCACTTCTTTAAAGAGACAGTTAATGAGTAGTCTTTTCCTCTGTCATTAAATTTTAGATGCAAACTAACCAAATTTGGCCTTGCTCTGACATTAGCCTTGCAGTATATATTATCTATATGAAGGACTCCTAAACTTTCTCCTGCTCAGGGGCGGATCTTGAAAGACAGAAACTATCTAATTCAGTACTAATTTGATGACATCCTGGGCTCCTTGCCTAAGTGTGGAGGAGACACTTTAACATCTGAATGAGGTGTCAGCAGGATTTGCTCATTTCAGCTGACTGGGGTAGCACATGTGGGTTTTTGGTCTTTTTCTTCCCCCTGCTGCTGTTGGTTAGGGAAGGTCTTTAAACTCTGGAATCAAATCTAACTAGCTGGAGCCACGTTCCCAGTGGACAATTGGAAGAGGTGGTTTTCCATGCCCTGGCTAAGGGATGGTGCAACTGCTAGGTAAAGGGTTTTGTGGATGCAGAATAGCTCAATGGAGAGCTTTTCTACTAAACAGAAAATCCCGAAGTTAAAAGTGTTCTGAGGCTGGAGCGGTGCTCGAGGAAGCTGTGGTGTGAGCTGCTACACTTGTGTTCTCATGGAGCCTCTTGTGCTTCATTCTCGCTTTAGGTGAACCTTCCTTTTAGTATCCTTCAGCGTAGGGCCTGTGGCTTCTACAGGGTTGCTCAGAAGAGGAGGCAAGTTGTAAAGGCTTTTTCTCCCTACACAGGAGCCAGCGCTCCTGCCAGAAAACACAGAGGGCTCTGCAAATCCTAAACAACGTTTGAGGGCCACTTATTCTGCTGTGGTTCCCTCTCAAGATTAAGTTGCCCTTGTTCTTAGAGACGGTGCGTGCTTCTTTACCAGGTGCTGAGGTAACAAGTTGCTCTGCTAAGGCCTGCCTGGAGCTGTCCGATCCCACCCGTGTGGTAACGCCCAGGGCCAGCATAGAGCAATTTCCAACCCATCTTTTAATGTGACTGGAATGTCGGTGACTGTGCCGGAGCTGAGGAAGGCAGGAGAAGATGAGTAAGGTCTCTCTGCCCAACTGCCAGAAAGAAGCACTGATAAAGGGGCACAAACAGATTCATGGCATGAATATCGGCAAGTATTTGTCTGCTTAGTAGATGCCAAAATCCTGGGCTTCTTTTAACAGAAATTTCTTTGCCTTCAGCCCCTCGCAGGCCAATACAAGCAAGCCCACTAATAAACGTGCAAATAAACTTGTTGTTGTTCTCTGCCGTCTGCCTTCCTTTCTAAAACATATCGGAATAGTGCAAAAGACAGTGAGAGAGTGGTGCATCTCGCTATA